CCACACGGCGCCCTCTGTTGGCTATTAGAATATATGATGAATCCTAAGCAGCATGGTACACCAAACTAAGCACTCTACTAGCCATTTCAACAGTCAAGGCAAGGGCATCATGCTTGCTTTCTGCTGTTTCACTGGACTGAAGCTTTGCAGTAGGGACGTGCATTCGGGTAAAACCAAATCCAAAATATATTTGGAAATTTTCTGGAATACCAAAACAAAACAGGTATCACAAAATCCCAGAAATACTCAAGATTAACCAGAAAGACCAGGAGTTAGTGTTTGCAGGCTCCTGGGACTGTTTTTCCTCCCCCCCCTTCTATTTTTCCTTTGTTTCTATGACTGCCAGGGGGTTTTATCAGCTTGCCAGGTTGCTTCTGTCAGTTGCAAGTCTCTTTGTCAGTTTCAAGAATGTTTTTTCTTTGCTGGAGTTGCTTTGTGTTTCCTTTTTAATAGTTTTTTTTTAGAGTTGCCTTTGCAAATCTCACACACCCCTCCCCCGGCTTGGATTTGTTTTGCTGTGATTCCTGTTAAGCTTGCACTGCCACCATGGCATTGGTTTCTGTTGGGCAACTGCACACTGTCATTTGGTTCTGGGGACTTGAAAAAGCATCCCCCACTTTCAGTTTCCACAGCAGACATTATCTAGTTTGACATTACTTTCTTTGGGCTTTAATGAATGAATCTTTATTTTGATACAAGATCAAATAATCAGCAAATAATAAAACACAGCAATGTGATCTCCAAGGAGATCACCCTAGCCTCTAGTTTGAGAAAGGCATTCGGAATACATTGCAGGACTCAAAAAATTGTCTGCAGGAACTTAGATTGTACCACTTCCAGGAGGCGCCTCTCTGTATAAATACAGAGTTGGGTATCATACAAGAGCTGAGTGACAACCTTGCCTTGGAAAATCTTGATTGCTGTGGGGATAAAGGAGGCCCCTTTTGTGAAGTGGAATCTTGTAATGGCAGAGGTTGCTCTGTGTTTCTGCAGTGTGTGGTGCCTGAGCTCTCCAGTGTCCAGATGACTGGAAGATTATGCCAAAGTATTTGAAGATTTTTGTCTGGGCTTGAACTGCCACAGTGGCACTGAGTTCTGGTGGGTTTCTGCACACTGCAAATGGTTCTGGTGGGCTTGCAAAAGTGCCCCTATCTTGAGTTTTCACTGCAGAGATTCTGTGGTTTGATTTTGGTTCTGTTTGGCTTGGCACATTGGTTTGTGGTTCTACTGGGATTACTTGGTTTCTGCAGTGGTTCTGCTGGGCTTGTTGTTGGTTCTGTCCCGGGAGCATATAACCAGTGATTGCTGCTTGTAGGCATGGCTTTTGTACTGGAAGCAACTTGGAAGCCCCCCCAAGAGATAAAGAAGGACAGCACCCCATTCATGGACACATAGAATTGGACTCCTCAGCCCAATCTACTTGAAACTTGGGATTTAATTAAAGGACACCTTTAAAAACAAGCCCTCCCAGCAACCCAGAAGTTTCCCCCATAGGGAGTAACGGATCAAAAAAAATTGACACCCCCCCAACCCTGAATTCAAATACCACACCAGTATTTGGTATTCAGGAACTTTTGGAATAACAATATTTTTCAAGTCCGGTATACCTGAACCTGAAAAATACATTTTTGAACACTCCTAATTGGCAGTGGCATCAGTAGAAAAATAGACAATATGTACACACTAAATTTTACGCTGCATTCTGTACCATGAATTAACCAGACTAGCCATGTAACAACCCCTGTTTGTGTTTCACAGTACTAACATCCAGAGCTTGAAAACATACTTTGACACGACTCTGAATGTTCTTTTTGTACAGATGCACCCCGTTTCACTAGCATATAACTCACCCTAGTATGGTTCTGTTACAAAGCCATCTTTTTTCTTTGAAGCAACAAGAAACTGTTTTGAACCTAACATAGCAGACAATTGACATAAACTCATTAATTTCAAAGTAAAATATCCAAAAAAATCTAAAATTAATAATTTCTAATCTTTTTGTTAGACTTTTTCTACCTCATATGTATATTTTTCTGAGCTGAGGTAAATATTCTCCAGATTATCAGGAAGGGTCATCAGGTAGTCATGAAGGGTAGAATCTCCCCAAAGCACATAAAATGATTACCTAGATCAATGTTTTCTTAATAAACTCATGTTTTGTTTTACCTCCATGGCAAAATGCATAGATTTCTGGGGTTGTTTTGTACCCAGGGTGCTTTTCTTTACAGAAAGCAAACTGTAAGGGGTAACTGGTTGTTCTTTGGAACACTCTTTACTACTGTACAGGTGACATTATGTTACGAGAACAAAGTTGCACAGCCATTTTTCCTCTGTCCCCAAGTACAACCAAGTTAATAAATTTGCCCTGAGATTATTATTTATTTATCTATCATATGGCAGAGTTACACACTGAAAGCATATAATAATATAAAATACATAACGAAGTTGATACAATGTGTATGCAGACCGACTGGGCAATACTAACTAAATACTAAATACTAAATACTAAATACTAACAACGTCTAAATTTTCAATTCACTCAGTTGCAGTTGGGGAGAGTTCAAAGAGCTCCGTTACATCTCCCTGAAAAGCACGACACTCCCAGTGCTGTGACAGATGGAAAACAGTTTGATGGGCTGGGCCACAGTCACATTTGGATCCTGGTATTTTGCCCCGTTTAAACACAGATCTGCACAGCTGCCAAAGCCTGTTTGTATTCTATTGGACGTCTTCTGTACTTTATGTGGCAAATCAAATCCTGCAGGTCTCTCATTGGTGTTTGTCAGGTTATGGATATTGGGTAGAACTGATTGCATCCATGTTTGCAACCATTCATTTCCTAGACTGATATTTTGTGATTGCAGGATTTGTGCAGATCTTATTGCTGGGTGTTGGGATTTTAGTCTGGATAGGCCCACATCAGCCATGTCTTTGTGGATTGTAACTCTTTGTTTTCAATGATCTTTCTATATTCACAAAGAAGAGTATCCTGTCTTTGGAGATGCCAATAAGTCGGAGTCGGTTTAATACATTTGCTGATGGTTCTCATTATTGTATTGATTTGGACATCAAGTCTGTGGACACGGGGGCTGTTGAGCCAAAATGAATCACCATATTCCACAGTACTATATACCAACCCCAAAGCTGAGCATCTAACTGTTGCAGCAGATGCAGCCCAAGTTGTACCACATAATTTTTGGAGACTATTGTTTCACATGCGTATTTTTGCTGCTACATTGGTAAGATGGTGTTTGTAGCTCAAGGTTCTGTCCAGAGTAATACCAAGGTACATAGGTGCATTGTTGTGTGTAAGTCAGGCACCATTAAGGAAGATATTCAGTTCACGGTTGACAAGATTGTTATAGAGAAGAAACTGGAGCATTATGTTTTTCCTGGACTTGGGATAAGCCACCATTTACAGTAGTAGTCAGCCAAAATTTCGAGGTCTTTATTCAGGATTTCCTCAGTCCTTTCAATTCATTCATGCCTTACTGCAATCACCATGTCATCGGCATAAGCAAACTTCCTGGATATCATCTCTGGAACATCAGAGACATATAGATTGAAAAGAACTGGAGCAAGAACCAAGCCCTGGGGTAGACCATTATTCAGTTTCTTCTGCTTGCTGATTGACTGACCCATAATTACTTGGAAAGTTCTATCACTCAGCATGTTATTTAGGTGTTGAAATAAGATTCTGCAGGAGAAAACTTGTGTACAGCAGATCAATCCTCCAGATTGTGTCATAAGTGGCAGTCAGATCGACGAAAACTGTTGATGTCCTAAGACACTTCTGATACCCTGCCTCAATGAAAGTTCTTAAGCCAAGAACCTTCACAACTATGACTGGGTCTAAATCCTGCTTGCTCTATTGGGACATGTTCGTTAATTCTGTCACTGATTCTGTTCAGGATTAGCCTCTCAACAAGTTTATAACAGGAGCTCAGAAGGGAAATAAATCTGCAACTGTCTGCCAGATGTTTTGGTTTTCCAGGTTTCCTGAGATTATTTCTTAATTTCTCTACACTGGTGTATTGCACATGTAACAATTAGTAGCTGCTGATTAGTAGGTGCCTGGGTCCACTGATAAGTGATGCATTTCATGTGACATAAAATATATGCATTCTAACTGTAAGTTCAGATTCATGCTGGTCCATTTGCATGGAAAAGTCATTAACAGATGCTACAGTTGCAAAGTCTATACTTATATTTCTTTTCTTCTGCTCACCTACCCACTGCAAACAAATCCCACACTCTTAAAAGTGGGGTATTTTTAAAATTCATATTAGGTTATTTATTAACACATTACACATGGTCATATCAGAGCCAAACTTTACATTATGTAGGACATCCATGATCAGATCACCTGAACTTTAACATAAAAAGGCAATAATGGGGAGGAGGGATAATCTGGATCAGGGTTATAACGTTAGAACATGATCCAGCATCACGCCAGCCTAATAGAAAATTAAACTGTGTTTACACTGAATATCTGAATGTAGCTTCAGGGAACAAAATCACAGAAAGGCAGAGGCAATGGTATAGGATGCATCACAAGTCCAACTCACATTCCCAAACAGGAACCTCCTATATCTCAGTTCAGTTTCTAATAGCTGTGAAATCCCATTGTTGTAGCTAACCTTCTGTAAAATGCCTATGAGCTGAAAGTCGCTTGTACTGCATTTCCCTAGAGATGCTGGTCAACATTAAGAATGTATAAAGTACAATTCTGCCTGAGCATTTTGGCAACTATTTGTTATGATATTGCTTCCTGTCAAGCGCATAATGCAATTTTGTCTTCCATAAAAATAAATGCATTGTGTAATCTCAGACTCTGTCATTTCCCACATTTCTGGCGCTAAATATTTAAACAAGGGGAGGCCAGAGAATCCCTAGCTAGTGATCGGCTTCATGTGTTCTAGCCCCTAAGGTAGGGCTATCAATGAAACAGCACTGCATTGCTGAAGAGACATGAAAGAGATAGCTGTTAAAAGTCCTACCTGCCCACAGGCCAGGCCCATGCCTCTCTCTCCCATGCCGTGCGGACATGATAGATTTAACTCCAGGGCATCTGCACCAGCAGCCTGTATGACACAGCGGAAAAAATATATATCAAATATTAACTGCCAAATGGTACACCACTTCACTGAAGGTAATTTCCCAGATGAAAACCTGATGTGTAGATAATTTACACCACACGTAATATTTCCTTCCATCAATATTTATTTTCGTTCCGACTAATTCAAAGCAAAATGTATTTTGAAGAAACAAAGGGGAAAAAACACTTTAAAGAGACACATAAAGAGTATAATTTATGTGAATAACTTAACTCCATCCTTACATGACATTTTCAGTTAGAGATGCTCTACCCTTTGTGCTGGTTCCACGCTCAGCTTTCAGCTGATGGAAGCGGAAGAGCAATATCCATCAATTCTCCCTTTCTACAGAATTTGTCCCTTGTACCATTCTTTTCTCCTGTAACTTGGGAGCAACATTTCAGGCAGATCAGTGAGCTGCAGCAGGAGTGTGGGACACAGAAAAGTCCCATTCCACTGACGGAAGGGTCTTAGTGTGGATCCAACCCCTTATGCTATGTGAATATGTAACTCTGGACTGACCTGGATGGCCCAAGCTAGCCTGATTCCATTAGATCTCAAAAGCTAAGCAGGGTCAGTCCTGGCTAGTATTTGGATGGGCGACTTTCAAGGAATACCAGGGTTGTGACGCAGATGCAGGCAATGGCAAACCACCTCTGAAACATCTCTTGCCTCAAAAACAAGTCTAGCTCGCCATCTAGTGGACGCTTCCATTTTAGAACCCTTCCAGTCTGGCTTCTGCCTGGGACACAGGACAGAGTCAGTACTGGTTGCCATGGCCGGCTCGTCCGCTAGGCGAACTAGGTGCTCGCCTAGGGTGGGCCGGCCCTCAGGGGCGCCAAACTGCTCCCCGCTGCCCCAAACCCCCACCGCCGCCGCCCTAACCCGGCGCCCGCTCCTCTCGCTCGCGTGCTCTCTCGGCGGGGGAGGGAAGCAGGGGAGGGAGGATGGAAGGCGGCGAGGAGGCAGAGGGCGCCAAGGTGGGTGGGGCCCTGCTCTCCTGGCAACACCCTTCCGCGCCCTCCTCGTGACGCTTCTCCCCTCCTAGTTCTCCCTCCGCTAGGCTCAGGGGCGCCTCGGCCGGCGAGGCGGGAGCGCCCGGGGGCCCACTAGGCAGCCTCCCTGCGCCTTCTCCATCTCGGGCTGCGTCGCCCTCCTCTGCTGCTCAGGTCTCGCTCGTTGGAGGGAGGGAGGGAGCACTCTGATTGCAGGAGAAGCTACCATGCTCCGCTTGCAGGCTGATGTCGATTTTGACACTGGAGATAAGGAGGAGTTTGCCGAGTTGCTTTGGCTGCCGGCAGGTTGGCCGGCAGCGTGCTGGGTCCTAGCGCTCGCCCATTGGCGCCTTCATACAAAGCACGAGGCGCGAGGCGCGCCGAACGGAGGGAAGGGGAGGTGGGGACGGGAGAGGAGGGGCAATTTAAACAACAACAACAACAACAGAAAGTGGGGAGAAGGGAGGTCGAGAGGGCCAAGAGGTAAGAGCACCGAGGGCCAGGCAGGGCTATTGGATCGAATGCATCTTTTCTCTCTCTCTCTCTCTTTTAAAATCAGCCTTATCCAGAAAGTGACCCAGGGCGGAGATGGTCTCATCAGCTCCAGGGCCGGCTCCAGGCGTTTTTGCGCCCTAGGCAGGGCTACCTTCTGGTGCCCCCCCCCCCGCCCACGTGCCCCTTTAAGACGCGACCCTTCCCATTCAGCTCCTTGATGTCTTTGGAGAAATAGATCCAAAGGGGGAGGAAGAAAGACTACTTTAGCATAAGCCACACACCTTTGCCAGCCGGCAGCATTTGGCCGTGGAATGCCGGCGCTGCCAACACTTCTCCAGGTATTCGCCCACCCCCTCCTCTCGACTGTCCTGTCAGACCTGCCCCCTCCTTTGCCCCTGGACGGGAAATAGCACATGAAAGGGAGGAGGGGGGAGGGAGTCTGCGCGCCAGGCTGCTTTGCTGCCCCACCCCCTACCACATCTGCCCATGCTCCTGCACCCTCGCCTATTGTTTCCCAACGGCCAGATGGCCAGGGCACGCACCCTCTCCCGCCTTTGAGGGTCCGGCTGGAGGTTGGCAACCCCCGTAATAGGTGGACGCGGGGGGGGGGCGCCAGAAGGTAGCCCCGCCTAGGGCACAAAAACACCTGGAGCCGGCCCTGCTGGTTGCCCTTACTGACGATCTCCGGAGACATCTGGATTAGGGCGGTTCGGTGGCACTGTTGTTGCTGGACCTGTCATCTGCGTTCGACACAGTCGACCACCAGTTGCTGACCTACCACCTTGCTGACGTGGGGATACAGGGGCTTGCCTTGCAATGGCTTGCTTCTTTTCTCCAGGGTCAGGGACAAAGGGGGATGCTGTTGAACAGCAGTCCAGGAGACACCCGCTGGTGTGCAGTGTGCCTCGGGGGGTGTGTGCTTTCCCTGATTGTTGTTTAACATCTACATGCGCCCCCTTGCCCAGATCACCCGGAGGTATGGGCTGGGGTGTCACCAGTATGATGTTGGGCGGCCGGTCAGACTCCAGCCTGGAAGATCTGGATCGGGCATTGCAAGCCGTGGCTGGTTGGCTTAGACCAAGTCGACTGAAACTAAACCTGGCGAAGACGGAGGTCCTGTGCCTGAGTCAAGGTGGATTGGGGAGGGAGATCCCACTCCCGACCTTCAATGGGGCACCATTGGTGCCAGTGTCGGAGGTGAGGAGTCTGGGAGTGCTCCTGGATCCCTCCATAACTATGGAGGCCCAGGTGGCAGCCACTGCCAAATTGGCCTTTTACGACCTTCGGCTGATCCGGCAGTTGGTTCCCTTCCTCGACCATGACAACCTGGCTACAGTGATCCACACGATGGTCACCTCGAGATTAGACTACTGTAATGCTCTCTACATGGGGCTGCCCCTGTCACAAATCCAGAAGCTGCAGCTAGTGCAGAATGCTGCGGCCAGGCTTCTCATGGGTCTCCCTTGATGGGCGCACATCCGGCCTGTGCTGAAGGCACTGCACTGGCTGCCAATATCATACCAAATTTGCTTCACGGTGCTGGTACTTACCTTTAGAGCCCTATATGGCCAGGGTCCGACATACCTGAGGGACTGTCTTTCCCCATATATACCCCAGAGAGCTCTACGGTCGGGGTCACAACATCGGTTAATGATACCAGGCCCTAAGGATGCCAGGCTCACTGTTACTAAGGCCAGAGCCTTTTCAGTGGTGGCTCCTACGTGGTGGAATGAGCTCCTGGAGACCAGGGCCCTGCGGGACCTTGCACAGTTCCACAGGGCCTGCAAGATGGAGCTCATCCACCAGGCGTTCAATTAGGAGCCGCCACCACCACTACTACCAATTATTATTACCATCACTGTGGTATTAGGCTGGCCCTTTATTGAGATTGAGCCACAGCTTCACCGGAGACCGGATTACTGCTGAAGCAGGACTCTAGTATTACACCTTACAGTACGCCATCTCTAATTTATTGAAGGAATGTCCATCACTGTGATCACTTTAACTATGTAATGTTTTATTGTTTTTAGTTTGTTTTTAATGTGTTTTTCAGTGACTTGATACCTGGTATTTGGTGCTGCTAACTGTGAGCTGCCCTGAGCATGTGCGCAGGGAGGGCGGGATATAAATCTAATAAATAATAATACTAATACTAATAATAATACTAAAGAGCTAGAACTTCAGGCTGCCAGACAATGATAGAATCTCCTAGCTATAGTACACAAAATGCCATACAATATTTAATTCTAGACTATACTATTTCAGAATGCAAATGGGGGGTGCCACATTGGTGAATGCTCCCCAAATAAAATGTTCACTGAATGTAGCAACATTTCACACTAGGGATTATGCTGCACATTTTGTATGCAGCTATATTGATACATGGATGGGAATTTGAGCTGTTTTGTTTCTATGTGGGCAGCATTCAAAAATATATCTCACAGACTGAAATGTGGGTAGTACAGAATTCTATTACCACACTCTGCTACCTTATTCTGCACAATATCTGGAATGGCATTTGGACTGATTTAAACGTGATCATGACTTACTTGTGTGGTGTGGCACATGTGCAGCAGCATCTCATTTAACTCTGCTGCTACCTATGCAATATTGTTACACATCCAATGTCAGTCACCACTGCAATACCTCCCTAGGCTAACATTGCACCTGTAGGCGCACCTCCATTGCGTGGCTTCTTTCATGAGTTCCAGTGCCCCATTTAAATTAGGTCACACATTTAAGAAAATGAGGTGGGAATGCAGTATGCTGAGATGGGCGAAAGGGCTGGCCTGCTTTGAACAATTGTTGGTGGTTTCTAGCTTTGAATGTTCCTTTATTACAAACCCCTTGCATTGAAAACTAGCACAATAAGATGAAAGACTGTTCCACTTCTCTTTGCTTGTTGTATTGGTAAGTTTGCAGGGAGTTTTTAAATGTAAGGAAGCTGTTCCAAAATGTGATCCATTCCCTGCAATCTGAACTGATATGGCCCATTCGATCACCTCATTCCCATATGTATGAATCAGGCGTTGGTCTGGCCTTTCAGAATTCCTTCTCTTGAGTACTTATATGGAATATATTCTGGGTATGGATATTTTACAAACTGTTTCAGCTAAAAGCTTGCTGCTGCTAGACTCCAAACACTGTTAAAATCTATTCTATTCATTTGAAGTTGGTTTGCTTGTAAAATGGCAAAACTTTTGGAAAATGTGATCTGAATTCTGTGAATACTGTGTTTGCTAGAGGATATCAACATGGCCTGCAGTAAACATATATTTGGAACTGAATGTTAAATAAAACATAACAAGGGACCAGGAGCCCAAGACTTTCTAATTGATATGTGAAATTCAGTCCCCTTCAGCTGCGAACTACTTCTTTGGCTGAGAGCACCCCAGGTTCCCTTCTGTTCCTAGTCTATGAGTGATTTTCCCTCAGCTCCACTTTTTTTATTTGCTGTCTTAATACATGGCTTATCTCCTTTGTGCTTTTGGGCACTTC